ACTCTGTAATCCTTTTGCGCTACCGCTCACAGGATGAGTGTGGGGTGCACAATAAAGTAGCCGCTGCAAGCGGCAAAATCAAATCAATCACACTGTCTGCACGTTTAAGTAGTTGATGAATTTTTTGTGTGTCCTTAAGCGAGGTTTCATGTTGAGGCTCCGGTGGTGAGAGTGAGAGCGTGTGCAAGATTAAAGTAAAGAAGAGAGAGAGAGAGAGAGAGAGAGAGTTGTTTTTCAAGGTAAGTGAGAGACAGACGGACAGACAGACAGAAAGAGTCAGACCGTAAATGAAGGACACACACACACACACACACACACACACACACACACACACACACACACACTCTCTCTCTCTCTCCCCTTCCTACTCCACATATCAAGAAGCGCTCAACACATTGACCCTTTCGACTCTCACTGACCATCACCACGACCTCATCTGCAAATTTGGTAAGAAGCTTCTACACCATGCTCGACACCGGCTCTTACTACCACCTGAGATCCCTAGCCCCCGAGAATTGCTATTCGACACCACAACCGCATCCAGCCCATACGTGCACGAACTGATCGCTATAAGAACAGCCCAGTCCCAACCATTGTAAAAATTATCAATAACTTGTAATTAACCAGTGTATTCACTCCCAGAAAATACTACTTCTTGCACTGTCACTATGTTGAAATGCCCTGTAGTTTGAGCTTTTCCCCATCTAGTTATTATATATCTTATTTATATCACTTATGTTATTTGTATATTATTTGTAATTCGAAACCCATTCCCCAAATATGTAACTGTATATTTTCAGCCTTCTGGCTGCCAAGCTCTTTCAATAAACCGTTAATTATTATTATTATTATTATTATTACAACTCCTCTACATCACACTGATTAGTTAGTTTCCTGGATTTTCAGCACAAAAACCTGGAGAAACGCAAGACATCATTGCCCTTGTTGACTTCAGGAAGGATTTTGACCTTGTTGATCACTGTACTGTTATCAACAAGGCCATTGCACTAGGGCTGCCCACCAACCTGGTTTCATGGCTCACTGATTTCCTGAATGAGCGTCGTCAGGCAGTGAGGTACCAGGGTTGTCTCCACATTCCAACACCTCACCTGCGGTGTTCCCCAGGGGACCAAGATGGGACCACTGTGCTTCCTAATCCTGATCAACGACGCTCTATCGGACACTCCTCACAGGTGGAAGTACGTGGGTGACTGCACTGTGAGGGTTACAGTGGACATCACCTCACCGGACTACTCATCGCTACAAGGCACCCTGGACAGGCTACAGGCATGGAGTACGGAGAATAACGTCACCATCAATCACACCAAAACCGTAGTCATGCACTTCAATACCGCCACCACTCCAGTGCAAGCTCCAGCAGTTACTGTTGGTGCCCATCCTCTCCAGGTAGTGCAGTCTGCCAAACTCCTGGGTGTAACAAACTGGACTGGAAGGCCCACGTAAACAACACTATCAAGGCAGCCTCGTACCGACTCTACATGCAACGACGACTCAGGTCACTTGGGGCACCCACGCCAGAGCTGAGGACTATCTACAACGCATTTATTCTCCCCAAATTAATGTATGCGTCACCAGCCTGGTCGTCTTCTCTCAAATCTACCCAACAACGTCGGTTAGAGAAGGTATAGAAGAGGGCCTGCAGCTCCGGCTACAACAACGCTCTCTCCACCCTGGAAATGCCATCCCTCGGTGACCTCCACCACCACGCATTAGCAAGGTTTGGTAGTGGACTACTGCACAATCCTCGTCATCGACACCTATTACCACCTGCAATACCCCGCCCACCTCGCACAGTCCGACATTAGAACAAAATTCAGCCCATAAGAGCTGGCACTGATAGATATAAGAATAGCACCACCCCATCTAGTGTTGAAACAATAAACAACTCCTGATTTATGTACTGTACAGCCCTGTAAATGTATTGAACGTTCTCATATATTATTATGTCTAAATCACATGTAAGTGTGTATATTTTGAGCCACCAGCTGCAACTCTATTAATAAACCGTTTATTATTATTATTATTATTATTATTACACACACACACACACACACACACACACATTACTAATACTACTACTACTTTGCTGTAATTCGGAATCGAGTATGAAGATCATCCAGCTATGATACAATGATATGAGTTATTAAAGATGTCACCTTCATTAGTGAGCTCTGTGGTGACTCGAGAGGCAGATATGGGACCGGCAGAGTCGTCCACAGATGTTGTACGTGTGAAGGGCTACAACTAGTGCGGGAGGGTCGGCAGCAGCGTCTTTCCACAGTTGGCGCTTTTCTCTTTCTGTCATTGAGTCGGGCTAACTCGAAAGTACTGACACAATGAGGAGTAATCGTCTCCCATGTGAGGGGCTCGATTTGGAAATTTTTTCAGGTAAGTCTTAAGACTATCCTTATACCTTTACAGTTGACCGCCAACGTCACGTGACTGTATTGCAGCTGCTTTGGCAGTCTACTGTCGTCCATGCTATGTACTGGCAGGGGAAGACTTGCGCAAGGTTGCTTCTCTGTTCACCACGAGGGCTAGCCAGCGGCGGCAGTTGCAAGCGAGAGGAGGCAAGCAGTCCCTGCACCTTATCACTAACATAATGCTGCCAAACTAGACGCATTAACCACCCTGTGTGCCTACACGCATTAACCACCCTGTGTGCCTAGACGCATTAACCATCCTGTGTGCACACACTTACAGAATCAGTGACCAATGTAGTTTTCGTGTTCTTGTTCCTGTACTGCTATACTTCGATACATTACTAGTAAAAAATATTATTAAACTTTTACTACAACACTATTATTATATGCTCACTACAACACCAGTACCATACGTTCACTACAACACCAGTACCATAAGTTTACTACAACACCAGGACCATATGTTTACTACAACACCAGTACCATATGTTTACTACAACACCAGTGCCATATGTTTACTACAACACCAGTACCATATGTTTACTACAACACAAGGACCATATGTTTACAGCAACACCAGTACCATACGTTTACCACAACACCACTACCATATGTTTACTACAACACCAGGACCATATGTTTACCACAACACCAGTACCATATGTTTACTACAACACCAGTACCATATGTTTACTACAACACGAGTACCATATGCTCACTACAACACCAGTACAACATGTTTACTACAACACCAGTACCATATGCTCACTACAACACCAGTACCATATGCTCACTACAACACCAGGACCATATGTTTACTACAACACTAGTACCATATGCTTACTACAACACCAGTAACATATGTTCACGACAAACCAGTACTATATGTTTGCTACAAAACCAGAACCATATGTTTACAGCAACACCAGTACCATACGTTTACCACAACACCAGTACCATATGTTTACTACAACACCAGTACCATATGTTCACTACAACACGAGTACTATATGTTTGCTACAACACCAGTACCATATGTTCACTACAACACCAGTACCAAATGTTTACTACAACACCAGTACCATATGTTTGCTACAACACTAGGTACCATATGTTTACTACAACACCAGTACCATATGTTTACTACAACACCAGTACCATATGTTCACTACAACATCAGTACCATATGTTTACTACAACACCAGTACCATATGCTCACTACAACACCAGTACCATATGCTCACTACAACACCAGTACCATATGTTTACTACAAGACCAGTACCATATGTTTACTACAACACCAGTACCATATGTTTAATTACATCACCAGTACCATATGATTACTACAACACCAGTACCATATGATTACTACAACACCAGTACCATATGTTTACTACAACACCAGTACCATATGTTCACTACAACACCAGTACCATATGTTCCCTACAGCAACAGTACCATATGTTTACTGCAACACCAGTACCATATGTTTACTACAACACCAGTACCATATGTTCACTACAACACCAGTACCATATGTTCCCTACAGCAACAGTACCATATGTTTACTGCAACACCAGTACCATATGTTTACTACAACACCAGTACCATATGTTTACTACAACACCAGTACCATATGTTTACTACAACAACAGTACCATATGTTTACTACAACACCAGTACTCTATGTTTACTACAACACGAGTACCATATGCTTACTACAAAACCAGTACCATATGTTCACTACAATACGAGTACCATATGTTTACTACAACACCAGTACCATATGTTTACTACAACACGAGTACCATATGTTCACTACAACACCAGTACTATATGTTTACTACAACACCAGTACCATATGTTCACTACAATACGAGTACCATATGTTTACTACAACACCAGTACCATATGTTTACTACAACACCAGTACCATATGTTCACTACAACACCAGGACCATATGTTTACTACAACACCAGTACCATATATTCACTACAACAGCAGTACCGTATGTTTACTACAACACCAGTACCATATGTTTACTACAACACCAGTACCATATGTTCACTACAACACCAGTACTATATGTTTACTTCAACACCAGTACCATATGTTCCCTACAGCGCTTAAATTACTAGTTCATATTACTGGTAGACTGTATCTGAGCTAACTAGATTCTTGTCTAAGTTAACACCATTTGGGGTTATGTGTAGCGTGACCCAGAGAAAGACAAATAGGTCTGATTAACGGAATGGCCAAAATTAATAGCAAAAATATACTGGTGGCAATTGTAGCTCTCACTACCTACATGGTAGTTTACCAATACAGGTCTACAGTTGAAAATGAATTTAAAAATTTGAAAGAACGGCTAGACGAAATTAAAATTCAACAACAAAAATAAAGAGTGAGCCTCTACTACAGAATTTTAAGGGGACTAAAACTTATTAGCCCTGGGATAGGTGAGCTCCCAACCCTATAAAAGCCCAAACCAGGTTTATGCGACCACGTGCCTCTTTTGGGCGACATTTTACTTGCTAGAAAAATCAAAATTGAGATGAAGAGGGTGACGGAGGCGCTGAAGAAGGCCTCCGAGAGCGACGTCCCACGTTTTACCTCTGGGTCATTTATCATAGGAACGGTACTGTTAGTGTTTATTGTTTGTTGTACTTGTGTGTATTTATGTTGTAAAATCCGTCGTCGCTTTAGAGAGGACGACCACAACCCAGGCTAGGCTGAGTCGACCCTAGGGGAATTAGAGTCACTAGCCACAGCAGAACCAGAGTCACCAACCGATGCAGAATCGGAGTCACCAGCCGAAGCGGAGCCGGAATCACCAGTCACAGCGGAAACGGAGTCACCAGCTGCAACAGAACCAGAGTCACCAGCCGCAGCAGAACCAGAGTCACCAACCGATGCAGAACCAGAATCACCAACCGATGCAGAACCGGAGTCACCAGCCGAAGCGGAGCCGCAGTCACCAGCCGTAGCGGAACTGTAGTCACCAGCCGAAGCGGAACCAGGGTCACAAGCCGCAGCGGAACCAGAGTCACCAAACGCAGCGGAACCGGAGTCACCAGCTGCAGCGGAACCAGATTCACCAGCCGAAGCGGAACCGAAATCACCAGCCGCAGCGGAACTGGAATCACCAACCACAGTGGAACCGGAATCACCAGCCGTAGCGAAACAGCAGTCCAGCCAAAATCAAATCACGAGGAGCGTTAAAATACCCAAAAAATTTCACGGCACATTCATTGGTCACAAGGGCGCCCATATTAAACAAATAGGCCAAAAATACGGAGTGTTGCTGAAACTCAACACCTATAAAAATAATATCAGTATCACCAGTACAGACATATAGCGGGTAGAGGAGGCCAAACGCTACATTGAAGACTTAATCCTCCAATGGTCACTCGCTTACTCCCTAGCCACAGCGGAACCGGAGTCACCAGCCGCAGCGGAACCTGGGTCACCAGCCACAGCGGAACGGGAATCACCAGCCGTCGCGAAACAGCAGTCCAGCCAAAATCAAATCACGAAGAGCGTTAAAATACCCAAAAAATTTCACGGAGCATTCATAGGTCACAAGGGCGCCCATATTAAACAAATAGGCCAAAAATACGGAGTGTTGCTGGGACTCAACACCAATAAAAACCATGTCAGTATCACCAGTACAGACATATAGCGGGTAGAGGAGGCCAAACGCTACATTGAAGATTTAATCCTCCAATGGTTATTCGGTAACCCCCCGATGTGATAGAATGGTTAATATTTTTCTCTTTTATATATAAATATAGATATATATGTAGTATTTCGTTCTATCTATTTATCTATCTACACATCCCACCCCCCCCACACACACACATGTAACCAGTATAATTTACATACTGTTTAATGTAGAGTAAGTAATTAATAACTTATAACTATGGATGTATAATTATGAACATTAATTATTCAATGACCTGAAGAGGGTAAAGGTTGCTCAGGGGACTAAAACATCCTGCAGATGTTTAGTCTTATCCAGTTGCCGAAGTATGATGCAACTCTCTCTCCAGGTAGTAGGTAATTCTTGAAATACTTAATAGATTGCTCATATGTGGTAATTGGATACTTTGCTTCACACTTGCAATGGTTCAAGTATGTTAGATAGTTAGATAAGTAATATGTAGATAATGGCACCGCCAGTTAGGACTGATTCATGGGTCATTGGAATCATTTACCAGCCGGTTATTTATGCACGTAATGTAAAAACCGCTCAATGTTGTTCGACTTGACATATGTTTAATTACATCACCAGTAACATAAGTTTACTACAACACCAGTACCATATGTTTACTACAACACCAGTACCATATGTTTACTACAACACCAGTACCATATGTTTACTACAACACCAGAACCATATCTTTACTACAACACGAGTACCATATATTTACTACAACATAAGTACCATATGTTCACTACAACACAAGTGCCATATGTTCACTACAACACCAGTACCATATGTTCACTACAACACCAGTACCATATGTTTACTACAACACCAGTACCATATGTTTACTACAACACCAGAACCATATCTTTACTACAACACGAGTACCATATATTTACTACAACATAAGTACCATATGTTCACTACAACACAAGTGCCATATGTTCACTACAACACCAGTACCATATGTTCACTACAACACCAGTACCATATGTTTACTACAACACCAGTACCATATGTTCACTACAACACAACTGCCATATGTTCACTACATCACCAGTACCATATGTTTACTACAACACCAGTACCATATGTTTACTGCAACACCAGTACCATATGTTTACTACAACACCAGTACCATATGTTTATTACAACACCAGTACCATATGTTTACTACAACACCAGTACCATATGATCACTACAACACAAGTGCCATATGTTCACTACATCACCAGTACCATATGTTTACTACAACACCAGTACCATATGTTTACTGCAACACCAGTACCATATGTTTACTACAACATAAGTACCATATGTTCACTACAACACAAGTGCCATATGTTCACTACAACACCAGTACCATATGTTCACTACAACACCAGTACCATATGTTTACTACAACACCAGTACCATATGTTCACTACAACACCAGTACCATATGTTTACTGCAACACCAGTACCATATGTTTACTACAACACCAGTACCATATGTTTATTACAACACCAGTACCATATGTTTACTACAACACCAGTACCATATGTTCACTACAACACCAGTACTATATGTTTACTTCAACACCAGTACCATATGTTCCCTACAGCGCTTAAATTACTAGTTCATATTACTGGTAGACTGTATCTGAGCTAACTAGATTCTTGTCTAAGTTAACACCATTTGGGGTTATGTGTAGCGTGACCCAGAGAAAGACAAATAGGTCTGATAAACGGAATGGCCAAAATTAATAGCAAAAATATACTGGTGGCAATTGTAGCTCTCACTACCTACATGGTAGTTTACCAATACAGGTCTACAGTTGAAAATGAATTTAAAAATTTGAAAGAACGGCTAGACGAAATTAAAATTCAACAACAAAAATAAAGAGTGAGCCTCTACTACAGAATTTTAAGGGGACTAAAACTTATTAGCCCTGGGATAGGTGAGCTCCCAACCCTATAAAAGCCCAAACCAGGTTTATGCGACCACGTGCCTCTTTTGGGCGACATTTTACTTGCTAGAAAAATCAAAATTGAGATGAAGAGGGTGACGGAGGCGCTGAAGAAGGCCTCCGAGAGCGACGTCCCACGTTTTACCTCTGGGTCATTTATCATAGGAACGGTACTGTTAGTGTTTATTGTTTGTTGTACTTGTGTGTATTTATGTTGTAAAATCCGTCGTCGCTTTAGAGAGGACGACCACAACCCAGGCTAGGCTGAGTCGACCCTAGGGGAATTAGAGTCACTAGCCACAGCAGAACCAGAGTCACCAACCGATGCAGAATCGGAGTCACCAGCCGAAGCGGAGCCGGAATCACCAGTCACAGCGGAAACGGAGTCACCAGCTGCAACAGAACCAGAGTCACCAGCCGCAGCAGAACCAGAGTCACCAACCGATGCAGAACCAGAATCACCAACCGATGCAGAACCGGAGTCACCAGCCGAAGCGGAGCCGCAGTCACCAGCCGTAGCGGAACTGGAGTCACCAGCCGAAGCGGAACCAGGGTCACAAGCCGCAGCGGAACCAGAGTCACCAAACGCAGCGGAACCGGAGTCACCAGCTGCAGCGGAACCAGATTCACCAGCCGAAGCGGAACCGAAATCACCAGCCGCAGCGGAACTGGAATCACCAACCACAGTGGAACCGGAATCACCAGCCGTAGCGAAACAGCAGTCCAGCCAAAATCAAATCACGAGGAGCGTTAAAATACCCAAAAAATTTCACGGCACATTCATTGGTCACAAGGGCGCCCATATTAAACAAATAGGCCAAAAATACGGAGTGTTGCTGAAACTCAACACCTATAAAAATAATATCAGTATCACCAGTACAGACATATAGCGGGTAGAGGAGGCCAAACGCTACATTGAAGACTTAATCCTCCAATGGTCACTCGCTTACTCCCTAGCCACAGCGGAACCGGAGTCACCAGCCGCAGCGGAACCTGGGTCACCAGCCACAGCGGAACGGGAATCACCAGCCGTCGCGAAACAGCAGTCCAGCCAAAATCAAATCACGAAGAGCGTTAAAATACCCAAAAAATTTCACGGAGCATTCATAGGTCACAAGGGCGCCCATATTAAACAAATAGGCCAAAAATACGGAGTGTTGCTGGGACTCAACACCAATAAAAACCATGTCAGTATCACCAGTACAGACATATAGCGGGTAGAGGAGGCCAAACGCTACATTGAAGATTTAATCCTCCAATGGTTATTCGGTAACCCCCCGATGTGATAGAATGGTTAATATTTTTCTCTTTTATATATAAATATAGATATATATGTAGTATTTCGTTCTATCTATTTATCTATCTACACATCCCACCCCCCCCCCCCACACACACACATGTAACCAGTATAATTTACATACTGTTTAATGTAGAGTAAGTAATTAATAACTTATAACTATGGATGTATAATTATGAACATTAATTATTCAATGACCTGAAGAGGGTAAAGGTTGCTCAGGGGACTAAAACATCCTGCAGATGTTTAGTCTTATCCAGTTGCCGAAGTATGATGCAACTCTCTCTCCAGGTAGTAGGTAATTCTTGAAATACTTAATAGATTGCTCATATGTGGTAATTGGATACTTTGCTTCACACTTGCAATGGTTCAAGTATGTTAGATAGTTAGATAAGTAATATGTAGATAATGGCACCGCCAGTTAGGACTGATTCATGGGTCATTGGAATCATTTACCAGCCGGTTATTTATGCACGTAATGTAAAAACCGCTCAATGTTGTTCGACTTGACATATGTTTAATTACATCACCAGTAACATAAGTTTACTACAACACCAGTACCATATGTTTACTACAACACCAGTACCATATGTTTACTACAACACCAGTACCATATGTTTACTACAACACCAGAACCATATCTTTACTACAACACGAGTACCATATATTTACTACAACATAAGTAACATATGTTCACTACAACACAAGTGCCATATGTTCACTACAACACCAGTACCATATGTTCACTACAACACCAGTACCATATGTTTACTACAATACCAGTACCATATGTTTACTACAACACCAGAACCATATCTTTACTACAACACGAGTACCATATATTTACTACAACATAAGTACCATATGTTCACTACAACACAAGTGCCATATGTTCACTACAATACCAGTACCATATGTTCACTACAACACCAGTACCATATGTTTACTACAACACCAGTACCATATGTTCACTACAACACAACTGCCATATGTTCACTACATCACCAGTACCATATGTTTACTACAACACCAGTACCATATGTTTACTGCAACACCAGTACCATATGTTTACTACAACACCAGTACCATATGTTTATTACAACACCAGTACCATATGTTTACTACAACACCAGTACCATATGATCACTACAACACAAGTGCCATATGTTCACTACATCACCAGTACCATATGTTTACTACAACACCAGTACCATATGTTTACTACATGTTTTACCAGTACCATATGTTCACTACAACACAAGTACCATATGTTCACTACAACACAAGTACCATATGTTCACTACAACACCAGTACCATATGTTCACTACAACACCAGTACCATATGTTTACTACAACACCAGTACCATATGTTCACTACAACACAACTGCCATATGTTCACTACATCACCAGTACCATATGTTTACTACAACACCAGTACCATATGTTTACTGCAACACCAGTACCATATGTTTACTACAACACCAGTACCATATGTTTATTACAACACCAGTACCATATGTTTACTACAACACCAGTACCATATGATCACTACAACACAAGTGCCATATGTTCACTACATCACCAGTACCATATGTTTACTACAACACCAGTACCATATGTTTACTGCAACACCAGTACCATATGTTTACTACAACATAAGTACCATATGTTCACTACAACACAAGTGCCATATGTTCACTACAACACCAGTACCATATGTTCACTACAACACCAGTACCATATGTTTACTACAACACCAGTACCATATGTTCACTACAACACCAGTACCATATGTTTACTGCAACACCAGTACCATATGTTTACTACAACACCAGTACCATATGTTTATTACAACACCAGTACCATATGTTTACTACAACACCAGTACCATATGTTCACTACAACACCAGTACTATATGTTTACTTCAACACCAGTACCATATGTTCCCTACAGCGCTTAAATTACTAGTTCATATTACTGGTAGACTGTAGCTGAGCTAACTAGATTCTTGTCTAAGTTAACACCATTTGGGGTTATGGTAGCGTGACCCAGAGAAAGACAAATAGGTCTGATTAACGGAATGGCCAAAATTAATAGCAAAAATATACTGGTGGCAATTGTAGCTCTCACTACCTACATGGTAGTTTACCAATACAGGTCTACAGTTGAAAATGAATTTAAAAATTTGAAAGAACGGCTAGACGAAATTAAAATTCAACAACAAAAATAAAGAGTGAGCCTCTACTACAGAATTTTAAGGGGACTAAAACTTATTAGCCCTGGGATAGGTGAGCTCCCAACCCTATAAAAGCCCAAACCAGGTTTATGCGACCACGTGCCTCCTTTGGGCGACATTTTACTTGCTAGAAAAATCAAAATTGAGATGAAGAGGGTGACGGAGGCGCTGAAGAAGGCCTCCGAGAGCGACGTCCCACGTTTTACCTCTGGGTCATTTATCATAGGAACGGTACTGTTAGTGTTTATTGTTTGTTGTACTTGTGTGTATTTATGTTGTAAAATCCGTCGTCGCTTTAGAGAGGACGACCACAACCCAGGCTAGGCTGAGTCGACCCTAGGGGAATTAGAGTCACTAGCCACAGCAGAACCAGAGTCACCAACCGATGCAGAATCGGAGTCACCAGCCGAAGCGGAGCCGGAATCACCAGTCACAGCGGAAACGGAGTCACCAGCTGCAACAGAACCAGAGTCACCAGCCGCAGCAGAACCAGAGTCACCAACCGATGCAGAACCAGAATCACCAACCGATGCAGAACCGGAGTCACCAGCCGAAGCGGAGCCGCAGTCACCAGCCGTAGCGGAACTGTAGTCACCAGCCGAAGCGGAACCAGGGTCACAAGCCGCAGCGGAACCAGAGTCACCAAACGCAGCGGAACCGGAGTCACCAGCTGCAGCGGAACCAGATTCACCAGCCGAAGCGGAACCGAAATCACCAGCCGCAGCGGAACTGGAATCACCAACCACAGTGGAACCGGAATCACCAGCCGTAGCGAAACAGCAGTCCAGCCAAAATCAAATCACGAGGAGCGTTAAAATTCCCAAAAAATTTCACGGCACATTCATTGGTCACAAGGGCGCCCATATTAAACAAATAGGCCAAAAATACGGAGTGTTGCTGAAACTCAACACCTATAAAAATAATATCAGTATCACCAGTACAGACATCTAGCGGGTAGAGGAGGCCAAACGCTACATTGAAGACTTAATCCTCCAATGGTCACTCGCTTACTCCCTAGCCACAGCGGAACCGGAGTCACCAGCCGCAGCGGAACCTGGGTCACCAGCCACAGCGGAACGGGAATCACCAGCCGTCGCGAAACAGCAGTCCAGCCAAAATCAAATCACGAAGAGCGTTAAAATACCCAAAAAATTTCACGGAGCATTCATAGGTCACAAGGGCGCCCATATTAAACAAATAGGCCAAAAATACGGAGTGTTGCTGGGACTCAACACCAATAAAAACCATGTCAGTATCACCAGTACAGACATATAGCGGGTAGAGGAGGCCAAACGCTACATTGAAGATTTAATCCTCCAATGGGTATTCGGTAACCCCCCGATGTGATAGAATGGTTAATATTTTTCTCTTCTATATATAAATATAGATATATATGCAGTATTTCGTTCTATCTATTTATCTATCTACACATCCCACCCCCCCCCACACACACACATGTAACCAGTATAATTTACATACTGTTTAATGTAGAGTAAGTAATTAATAACTTATAACTATGGATGTATAA